CCTTTGTGCAATATTATTAACAGCAGCAACTACAATATCCACCAGCAGCACGGCGGCAACAGCAGCAACTTTGAGCTCTCAATCGAGCGTTACAATTTTCACAATCTCGCAGCGATTGGACATGCAAGTGGGGCCAAGGAGTTGCATAAGCTGGGGCCAGCGAGGTTGGGAGACCCACCATCCCACCTCCTCCTCAAGTCCTTAATGGAAGATATGATACCCTCAAAAATTACGGGCACTGTGGGTTCAGTTTAAAAATAGGTTAAAATGATTTACAACTCAAACCTTTTTTTAAACGATACGAAAATGGCATAGTAATGTTGAAATATTTTACTTTAATCTAAAACAGAACATTTTTTAAAAGCAAATTGTTGTAAGTATCTGAAAATAATAGTTATTATGTCCATCCCGTTCTCATCATTACTCATCCTCAAATTTTACTAGAAAGTAGTAGCTTTTTTGAGGGTATTCCAATCCTCTACATCCCATATTCTCCCTGTCTTCTTGTTATATGATCATGTATGAAGATCTGAATCGGAGTGCAGACTGCAACGGAGACTGCAACTGAGACTGAGACAATCGCAGCCTGGCTAAAGTTCGCCACTCTCGCCGGAATCTCGAGTCTGATCTTTGCCGCCATTCAAGGTGTCTGCTCCTCCCCGATCGCCTTCGATCTTTAAAGCCCCCGTGGAACCCAGATTTCTGGCTCTGAAGATCTGCATTTGTGTGCGGGCATTAAGACAATTTATAGCCGCTAATGTGCCAAGCAAAAACCCACCGCACAATTGGCCAGAAGGGTAAATGCACAGGCAGGAATTATGAAAAGTGCCAGTTTAAAAAAAGGGTTAATAGTAATAGAAATAGTAAAAGTTGAATTAATATTTAGGAGCATTTTAATAGATAAATACTTTTAAAGTTTTCATCAGTATTTCCCATTTAAAACAGAAAAATAGGTATTATTGAAATATTTTAAGGCGTATAACATTCTGCATTTATTTAACAACCTATTGATGTGTTTGCTTGATTTGTAAGCTGTACTAACTCTTTTGTATTTTTTCCAGTGCTGCCCGCGGAGGAGTATAGCAAAAGCCAAGAGATCAGATGGAAACAGAGGAGAGAGGCTGTCTGGAGCAGCTTCCGTTCCGTATCATTTGTCTATTTAGTTGCGGGGCCTGTGCTTTTCCGATTAACTTTTTGTTGAACTTCATTACCTGGCGAAAATGCAATAATCGAGAGGGGGAGCAGCAGCTAATGGCAGATCGGTGCTGGGGAAAATGGAGCTGGGCTACCAGCTAGGCAATTTGTATCGACGATCGGCGATCGGGGGAAAGGGGGAGCAGACACACGGACTCATATGAAGATCGCCTCCGTAATGATTAAAAATCGTGCACTGGACCCAATCGAAAACAATATTCGCTTACAAATTGGAACAGTGCCACGTGAAACACCTGCGAAGCCAGCCAGATGAGGAGGAAGTTGGCCAGCTACCGAAGAAATGCTCTTGATGAAGATTCCCAGGAGGGGTAATCAAGGTAGCAGCCAATGAGGCGATTGCCCATATTGTTGCACTTGCCATATCCCCATTGATGATTGCGAAATTAATTCTGCAGAGGGTATGGGAATCCCATTTGGATAGGTGGAGTTGATGTATGTGAAAAAATGTATTACCAGCCATGAATGGGTAAAATATTAACTATTGGCTTTGAGCAGCGATCGTTTCATTTTCAATAAACAACACTAGTAATTAACAACTGTAATTAATTATTGTTTTTGTTACTAACTTACGTTTACGTAATTGTTATTAAAATTACTATGTGATCGATTACCACACATTCTTTACATTGGAGCATTTATAGAACGTATTCAAAAACATCTTTATATTTTTGTAACATTTTCAAAAATATTGTCAGATAATGTAAGCTGAAGCTACATATATTTTAATGCAGATATCCTTCCCATCTCCCCCATTAACCCTCCCTAATTGCTTTGTTTCGCATTAATTTATTCATAACCCCAGTTAGCCAGCAGACAAAAATGCGCAGAATGATGGAAACCCCCTTTGATCTCTTTCCTCGATCTCTGCTATTTTGATTGCCATCCCCAGCTGAAGTGTTCCAATTGTCTAAAACACTCTCGTGTAGCTTTCCTGCATACTATATATGCATACTATATTCACCCGTGTAGTGTCGCATTGCCATTAATTTCGCTTACAATATTAATTACCATCAAATTTCTCATTCCGCTGATTTGTGGTCGAGGCGAGGCGAATGTGTGGCAAAAATGATTTCAGCCGCAGATTCATAAAATATCTGCCCACAATGGGGTGGGCTGTGGTGGCCAGACATTAAGTATGCAGAGTGTATAGCTCCCCCCCTCTCTTCACCCCTGAATTTATATATATATATATCTTGTTCCCCCCTTTTTTTTTCTTCCCACTCATCCTTGGTCAGGCGTTGCTGTTGACATGTTGCCGTCGCTTGTTGTTGCTGCCGCTGGCATTAAATTAGTTGTTGGCATCGGTAGTGGCAGCTAATGCAGACCACCAACCCCCCTCCTCTCCCCGGGATCCCCACTCCGCCACAAAGGCCCCCTCCGACCCACTGGCCGCTCCATCAACCGACTAACGATGCACTCAATTACAGCGACCAGTGCGGTGACGTCGCATAAATTATAGTTTATTTATTTTTATTTTCATTTTTAATTTCGACGCTTTGCGGCGCTGCTCTGCCTTTGTTATGCCTCCCGCTCGATTGCCAGCAGCGGAATACTATATATAATGGCCATATGATTACCCCGATTTCGTCCTTAAAACTAATCATTTTGTAGTAAACAGTCAATTTAAATTTTTGAATATTAAATTTAGTTTTGCATTAGACAAAACTTGTGAATGGCTATTAAATAGTACGAAAATTATACACTTTTTAAAAATAGAAACATTTTGAACAATTGTAAACATTTTAAACCTAAAAATGTTTTTATTTAAAGTGACTAATAATTAATATAAATCATAATGCTTGTTTTTTGTGAGACATTGACAACCAATAAATTAGTATTTAATTACTTTTATTTACCAACCTCTTTTCTGGTTTTTTATTGCTGACATTTTTACAGCCAGACGAGATATAGGTGCAAACTGATTGGCCAGTTATAAAACCTACGTTCTGGGTAGAACGTTTCGCTTTTATTTTGACCATTTGTCAGACGTGCACAAATTGCGATCGCGCTTTTGAACTCCAAACAAATTCGCACCGGCGACTTATTGGGGAAATGACACCTGTCCGGCATTTCAAGTTGTTCGCACGTAGCACGTGGGTTCAGTAATCCACCCCCTGCCCCCCTGCCACCAAATAACCCCCCTTTGAGCCACCACCCCCTGCACCACCTGATGACCAAGTTCGGTGGAGTTGGCTTGTCACCTGCATACAGTGCGGCTCATTAACACGGTGCCGTTTGATTGACCAAATTATTATGTAATTAGCTGCAGGCTGACCCACATCCCAGCAGGTGGTGCGGTAGTGCTGGCGGTGCGGTGGTGCCGGTGCTCTTATCAGTCTGATTTATTCGCGTTTCTTGGGGCTGACTTATGGAACGTGTTTTTTGTCGGCACGTCGTTGACAGGAAGTTAGCAGTCCAGGGACTCGATGTTGGGAAACTCGCCGACGGATTGGGAAATCTATATACTAAATGTGAATTATTCCAGCGGGGGATTGTGTGGTAATACTAACTCCATTTCTGAGCGATTAAAATCCATGCGAACCAAGTTATTCGTTTTTGTTCAGGCCAATAAACATCAGCGATTTATAGCAGACTAATTGAATTTCATATTTACATGTTTCTATTACGCGGAACATGTTAGTAAATCAAGATAATTTACATTTAATTGCAGTTTTATGTTCTGAATTAAGCTTTATTAAAATTTTATGGTGGACTTCATTACAAGAATTGAAAACAAAACACCAGACATAAATTAATAATGAATAGAGACAGGCAATAAAAGAGAACAACATTTTTTTTACACCCAGCAAACGAATTAAAGATTTATTATTTGCTGTTTGAAGGGGGTGAATATTTATAATTGTTTCATTATTCTTAGGTTATTACATATCAATAAAATGTAGAAGTCTTACAAAACGCTTTGAGTATTAGTAATTAGTAAGCAATTATATATTTAATATTCTTTTAAATCCATAGTTATGCGACATGTTGTACTATCTGTTTTAGGCTTTGAGAGATGTTTCTAATTAACTAAATTAATTGCAACCCCCATATGCCTATCATCTTTGCTAAGTGCTTAATTTGCAATTTTCAATTAATTCCTCATGAATAATGCACACACCACCCAACTCAGTTAATGAGTCCAGCTCGCAATTCGTATTTGTTTTACAAGTTTGCACCACCTTGACTGTGGGCTGGGAGGTCTCTAGTCTCTAATTGGCGTCTTGTGGGAGTGATCTATTCAATTAGCGTCCAATTGATTCTTTACGCGTCGCTCACCTCAACGCGTCTGTTGATCCTCCGACAAAGCGGTTCCAGGTATTTCTGGCACCTCCTCTATTTGCGATCGGCACCAGCACCCACACATCGCGATCTGCGATTTTTTCAAGTTGCGACTTGCGTCGATCACATTTTCGCACCTCCGGTCGAGATGTTTGCCAAATATTTGAGCTGCTCACGTCCCAGTTGATTGAAGCCCGTCTTATGTTGGTCACTCATTTCGGAGGGCTTTCACTACTCGGATTGCCAAATGGCAGAGGCTCTACTCATTAACAATTGCACCGGGGCTGTGGGCCATAAAATTATGACACGATCGGCCGGAACCTACTTAAGGTTTGTTGACAGCACCAGTGCCCCCTGCACTCCCCTTACATAATGAGGGAAGACCTTTCGTTCACTCACTGTGACATCAATTCCCATCACGTCCTCGGCGTCGTTTTCGATTTCGTTTGAATTTTCTTTGGGTCGAGCCTCCTATAAAATGATTCGGCTCCATTTGATTGAGGCACAGTCACAAAGACAACAGTTCAGCAGACACAGCGCAAGCTCAACAATTGGATAACCCCTCAACTCAAGCAAGGAATCTCCCAGAATGAAGGTAATCAACGAACCTTAAATATAGAGTCAAAAAATACTTTAGTATCTAGCCAGCATAAGGATTAAAATATGATCTTTTATCTAAAAAGATCTATATTTAAAACAAGTGGCTTCTTTCTTATAATTCTAATATTTAAAAAACAGTACTTTTATGTTATTCATTTTTTAAATTTCTTAGCTGAGTATTAATTATCAAATTGAAAGCGTTACTAGTATACATTATAAAATATTAAATATAGACTGTATGCGATAAAATGAAGTGATTTTCTCTACTTGGTTGTTTATTATTCTAAAGATTTCCCTAATATTTGTAACTTTTACTCATTTCACCTTTTTTAATCCCAGTTCTTCGTGTGCATCTTGGCTTTGGTGGGCGTGGCTCAGGCTGGACTCCTGCCCCATCTGGATAGCCACCATGGCTACCACCATGAGGAGCTGCCCCATCTCTTGGACGCCGAGATCCACCACTCGGATGGTATCCATTTGGGGCACAGTGCCGCGCTGGTGCACGATGACCACCACCTGAACCACCACCTGGATCACCACTTGGACCACCACTTGGTGGAGACGTTGCCAACCACTGTCTACCACCACGAGCCTCTGCACTACCACTACGCCCGTCTCACCTCTCCGGTGGTGCACCACCACCACCACGACACCCATGCCGCCGTAGTGCACCACAATGTGGTGCCAGCTCACTTCGATTCGCACACCCACTCGAACCTGCTGTCCTTCGCCAAACACGCCCTCCACGGAAAATACGGCAAGGTCAGGATCACCGAGACCCATTATTGAGAGATTCCAACCACCCATCCATTGTCCATTAAAACCTCTGACTAGCCAAACGCTTATTGTTAATTTATTAAGCACATAGTTTAGTTTACGAAAAATAACTCGAATAAACGGGAGACTTATGAAAAAATAAACTCAGAAACTCAATAGAAATAGATTCATGTTTTGTTTGAAATATATATTCTACATATAAAGAATAACTTCTTATGACACTTTTGTTTATTCTACATATAAAGAATTACATATTAGGAATCTGCAAAAGAAATGCTGAGTAAGAACATTTTCATATAATAGAAGCTGATTCTTATTCAAAAATAATCTTAGAAATCTGTATTATTTTGTTTAGCTAAATACTTGTTTTCCATTTTCCTTATCTGTAAATTCATATCTAATTAACATTAATAAGCCCAAAGCAAAAACATAACTTTTCTCTTACCAATTTCTCACCTTTTTATTAACAACGCGAACCCAACCCATTGGTTAGTCACCCCCTTTTGCGATTTTCTAGTGTAATTTTGAGTTTATTAGGCGTTAAGTTCGCTCACGAAATGTTCGGATGAACGGGTGAGAATCTGTGAATTCAGTTGGCGAATAATTGGAAGAGCTTGATACTTTCCCATTTTCCCCCCTTGGAACACCCCCTCCTTGATTTGGGGCTCATTGCATCCGTCAGAGGCTTCAACGCGGCCCAGACAATTTATCATCCGCTGTGCGAGCCGAAAGTAATTTACTTGCAATTTAAAGATAAACAGGCGCGATAATGTCTACAAAGCATAAACGTGAGTTGACGCCTACAATCCGACAAGAGGGGGCATTCAAGGTGAGAGGGGGAGGGGGGAGGAGGGGTTCCGGGGGAGCCATGACCATACATCATCGCGATATCGCTGCCACAGAGAGTGAAGGTGTTGCTGGTGCGGCTAGTGTTGCTGTTGTGGTGTTGCTGTTGCTGTTGCTGTGGTGTTGCTGTTGTTGTTGTTGTGGTGTTGCTGCGGTGCCTGCCTCACGCCATCCACGCTCGCTGGGGGAAGAACAATTGCAACGGCCGCTGCACGATGCGGCAGTTTCGAGTTGCAACTGGCAACTTGCAACTTGCAACCAGCAAACGGGCAAACCAGCAACTAGCAACCAGCAACTGCCAACTGGCAACTTGCAACGCAGTCGACCCTGACAAACAAACGCTGAGGGCGTCGTGCTCATGTCCAGAGCTCTCGACTCTGGAACCCCGGAGCCAAGTCAAGTAAAGCGCATGCGCAACACGTGGCCGAAACACCACTGAAAAGTGGCTAAAAGTGCCGGGGAGCTAAGGAGGTAACCCTCCGACCCAAAACGCTTCCCCTTTTTCGCAAGTGCAGCCAAGCGGCTTCTGCAATTTTCCAGTCGTGCGCCATGGCAACGCGTGCCGAGCTCATTTTCATTTTCATTGAGCCCCCGGAGGTTGGCGGGGAAATCGGAGAAGGAGGTGGCACTTGGCTTTGAGGAAATTAGCCTCTAAGCAGGAGCCGGGTTCAGCTTTCATGGCCTTTTGCCCCCTTAGATGGCTTTTCCAACATAGATAGCGAAAATCTAAGCGCTTTTCTTATTTTTCTAGATTTCTTACTTAAAAGATTGTTAGCTCTGGTATTCAAAATTAATGGAATCGAATTTATTCTTACTACAAATATATTTATTTTCGACTAATAAAATACTATACAGTAAAAATTGATTCTTAATACTAATATATTTATTTTTCGACTAATAAAAGACTGCTTATTGATTGAAATCTATGCAAAGAATTGTTAAATTCAATATACGGTTTTTTAGTTGGTAGTCGTTTGGCGTGAAAACTTAAAGATATGGCCCATTCCAAGGTCTATAATTTTGTGATCCTATTTATTAAAATGTTTTAATTATTTTCAGAAGTTTGAAATATGTTTATGTAAAGATTAATTTTTGTTTTCCCTTATAATAAGCCTTAATTTCAACCATCACTAAAAATAACCCAAGAGTCCAAAAGCCAAACAATTAGCGTATGACTCTAAGTAAGTTTCGCCAGCAGATAAATTTATTTTGTCCAAAAATAAAAACCAAGCAATATCATTATCGACTAAAATCATATTTATTAGCTTACTGCCCTCTGAAGACCAGTTTTCAAAGAACCTGATAAATTCGTTGTTTGCACACGAAATACAAAGTTGCGGCCGGAGTTTAGCACCAATTTGTTCTCGCAGTGCCGCGTTGACAAATATTTTGTACAAATGGGCCGGCTGTTAGTGCATTTGTGCACATATTCACTTATTCACGGCAATCTGAATGGACTCGCCGAGGCAGAGGGAAAAAGTCGTGCCACACGAAGCCCCAAAACTGAACCAAATGCGGCACGACTCTTTTTGCGGCCTGTCGTGCGTTGAATGGGGCAACGTTGTGTGCGCCGGGATGTGCATATGCATCCGAATGTTGCAAGAGCTCAACACCTGCCAAAGCTTCATAAATTCGATAAATCACGGGGCATCGTAGAATCGTTTGTGGTTCGTTGTTGTCTGGGCGAAAAAAAGCTGTCAAAAAACGGTGATGCGTGAACACCCGCTTGGCTTTTGATTTTCTGTTTCTGTTTTTTTTCTTTCTGTTGGTTTTTGAGCTGCGAGCTGCGAACTCGCCTCGCTACGATTAAAGCCAGCCTAGTGTGGCAGCGCTAATGGCAAAGACACACAAGTCGCTGGGTGTTCGCAAAAGAAGAGGGGCCCAAGCGGTGGAGCAGAGGGGGATGAGGGGACCCATTCCAGACAATGCCACAGTTTATATTGCAGCCTGTGCCTGGTCATTAGCAGCATTGCAGCTGCAACAGCAACAGCAACAGCAAGAGCGGTGTAAGTGAGGTAGCAACGCGGCAGCAACTCCAACTCCAACTGCAGCGTCGTCTCTTTGGCAGCGTAATTGTGTTAAAAATTACTCAGGCATCTTAATCACTTTGGTAAATATTTTGCCAGAGCCAGAGAAGGAGTTTTCGGATTCGGAGAGTCTTAGTCCCCGGACAGAAAGACGCAAGACGCAAGACGAGCGAACGAGGTTAATGCGCTGCAGCTGCAACAGACGCAGAATGTTGCTAGTTCGAAAATCCCATTCGAGCCCCCTTTACATTCACCTTATATCTTTTTTTTTTGCGTTTTTTAGGCGTGTGGGTGTGCGTGTATATCGGAAAGCCGAAACATGCAAACTCCACAAACGAGCCAAGTTTTCATTCATGAAATTGCCAAGATTGCCAGGGAATAAAAGAGGAAAAAGGGGAGCGGGCAACTCAACTTGATTGCATGTTCGGGCTCAGTTCATTTTCAACAGCATCAAGGATCAAATGCATTAAATACGAGAACGAGACCAAGACCCAAGACAGAGACCGAGTCGCTGCCATCGGATGTTGCTGCAGCAACATCAGCAACATCAAGGCAACGCCAACAGCAACAACACATCTACTTACGTTCGGTTCGCCGCCTTATCGACTCTGCTCATCTGGCGTCCTCTGTCCAGGGTCCCGGGTACATCCCCAATCCCCTAACCCTATCCCCCCTGAACCCATCACCATCCCCGTTCCCGATCCCCAGCCACATCCACATCCTATATACTACATCCACATCCAGGGCGGGTGGCGCACCTGCGGCAAACTGCTTTGCAATTATGAGATTTTTTGCGCTTCCTCTGCTTCGCTGCGAGGCCAGCGGCACGGAGTTATGCTAAACAAACCAGGAGCGGACTCAAGTTAAGTCTAGAAAGGGATCAGAAGGGGCCGTTAAAAGAAATAATAATAATCAGCTTTACAAAATATTTTCAAAAGTATAACAAACATCTAGAAGAAGTAAACCGTAGGACATTTTTGCTTTTCGAATTAAATCTAAAATTTCGAGTTGTTATTAGTTATCAAACGAACCTTAAGTGTTTTCCCGTTCGAAAATTTATTGTAATTTAACATTTGGTAATGTATTAAATTTGTTATTTGTATAAATTGTTCAAAACAACTATTTACATTTTCGTTCCCTTTTGAAAGTTTTACATTATATACATTTTACATATTTAAATATCTACTTTTCAGTCATTTATATATAATATATAATAAATAATGAATTTATTAAATTATTAAAAATAATACAAATTCATATAATAATATTGGCTGCCAAGGACACCACAAATTTTAAGGAAACCCACGGAAGACCAGCCCTGGTAATCAAGGAAGAGGAGGAGTAGCCGCTTGCCAGGTCGATGATGTTGCAGGCAGCTTCTGTTGCCGCTGCTGCCGTTGATGTTGCTGCTGCTGCTGCTGATGCCGCTGCTGATGCTACACTTTCTCTCTGTACAGCAGCCCGGCATCATAATTTAGACTGCAATCATCATTATCGTTCGAGACCAGCGACCCGAGAGCATTCTTGAGCAAAACGCCCGCACGTAGACGGCATTTTGGAAAGAGGAGGATGAGGAGGAGAAGGGGAGCTGGGGTGCCTGGAAGTCGGGAGTTGGGACCCAGCCTTGGCAACTGTCAGTCAGTGGGGATCGGACTCCGGAGCAGTCAGTGAGTCTATCATTCAGTCAGTCAGTCAGCGCAAAGTTGCCAGCAATTTGCTCAAATAAAAACGTAAAAACGAAATGCAGCAACCCAGGAAGCTGCGCATGCGTCTCTGGCAGCATATAATTGTCTCTTGGGCAGGGACTCGAAAAGCTGAGATGAGGACGAGGACGAGGACGCGGACGAGGATGAGGATGAGGATCCACTGACGGAGCCACACAGCTGTGCCTGCCACTGTGCAACTCGCTTTCGGTGGTGCAGCGGTGCAGTGGTGCCGTCCATGTCCGGCGGCAATTGTAATTACCGCAGTTGCGCCTCCCGTCCGTCGGGGCCAACGCCTTCGCCAATTTCACACTTAGCGAAAAAATATTTATATATGTACACAAATAAAAAGAATGATTTTTGGAAATATTCACTAACTAAATTGTAAAGGAATAATGGATCAGATGTAACTGTTATAATATATTTGATAAAGGTAACATACACCTCACATAGCTTAATTATATAATTTTTAAGTTTTCCTAATATAATATGATACTATTTAAAAGCGTTAATAATTTAGTTTAAATGTTGAGATGGCAAAAAAACCTTTTTCTGAGAAACGTACCTTTAAAAAAATAAATTCTAAAACAGATTCAATATATCTTAAAAAGGAAGTATTTACTTTTATTTGCTTTAACTATCCTAATGATAATAATAACAAAAACACGCAGTTTATTATGGGGAATGTTGATAAACAATCTTTAAATCAATACTTTTAATTTAGATACTTACATTCAAATTACATACTCTTCTTTTTTCTGAGTGTAGAGCTGGACAAATGCGCAGTAGCCTGGCATTTCAGTTACGCCTGCAGTTTGTTATTACGCGCATTATTCCAGCAGCAGCCCTTTGGTGTCTCAACCCATCTTCAGGTCCGCCGATCCTCCAAGCCCCACATCTCCCATCTCCCATCCCTCATCCCTCCATCATACAGACCCCAACCCATCCCCTCCTGATTGCATTCGGTAAAGACTTCGGGGCAGAAGACATTTTACATTAGCTGCGCATTCCAAAAATCCGCTCCTCACCAGCTTTCAGTTTTCAGTTTTCGTTTCGTTTATTTATTTTAGTATTTTTGCGATGGAAGAGAAACTAATTAGAGTAGACTTAATGGAAATACTCGTAGTTATTCATAATTTAGTTAAACGTTAGCGTACAATGGCGGAACTGCCGAGAGAGTTCCCAGAGACTTTAGTACAATAATGGATAATGTTTTGGGCAGCTAAGGATTGTCAGAGTGTGAAGGGGAACTTAAACTAACCAAGCGTTTTTTTTTTTACTGTACACAGCACCGTAAGATAATACCGAACTTAATAGCACCTTAATCAAATTGGAAGATCGGATTGGGTTGGGGTCATGGGCTCGGATTTTGGGCATCCACAAGATCCCAAAATGATAGCATAACTAGCAGTTGGAAGTGATTCGATTTTGTTCTCAACTAATATCACAATGTTGCTCGCTGATTCTCTCCACTTCAATGCAATTTCGATAAAATTGTTTTGATTTCAATATCATAGTTATCTTTGATTCTCGAATTCTTACGACTAGAAGGCAAATGTAAGCTAAGAGTTGAAAAGTCTTTTGATCGATTAGCTATCATAGTTATTGCTTTAATTTACATAGTTTAGATCTTTTGATTTCTGATTTAAAATTCGAAAAGCGCTATAAAAATATTCCTGAAAGCGATTCGTAAAATTTACTTGAGTTTAGTTGAGTGAAGGATTTTTGTCGTAATTTTAAAAGTTTTTTTTTTTTTTGTTTATTTTTAGGCGTTTTTCGAGTCTAGTGAATGGAGTTTTATTAAAAAATACTTGACTGGATGCGTTTAGCATTTAATGCTTAAAATTTTTAACTTCTTCGAAGCGTTAAGTTGAAAAATCTTACAGCTAGGATTTCATTTCGTTAAAAATATTATACGTATTTCTGGTAAATATACTTTATATATATATGCCCTAGCTGGGCTAACCATTATCTTTTTTATTGTTAATCATTAGTCAAAAAGTTGATTAGGCCTGGCAAAAGTCGCACAATGTACAAGGCAAAAATTCTATCTTACAATATCTCTCAATTTCAGTTGTTGCTTAGTTTTTATGTTTTTGTTGTTGTTGAGTATCAAAAATGTTTTTGTTCTTAAGGCACTTCCGTGTGACGGAAATATATAGCTCTATATCTAAGTATAAATCTAGATGTATTTCTCTATTTATGGTTGCCTATATACAATCGTTTCCGGTTTTTGTGTGCGCTCCCAGCTTAGTGCTCCTAAATCTCCGCCAGGCGAAACAATCACTTGGAGCTGATCCAAAGCCAAACTGAATTATGATGATGGAAACAATGCATAGACTGGCGAACGGCGACAACCCTGTCCCCCTCCCGTTCGTTGAGCAACCCTGAACACCCCTGAACACCCCTGAACACCCCTGACCACCCTGGCCAAACTCAAACTTCAAACTAAAACTCAATTTTCGCGCTACAATTACAAATGACAGCGATAAATTTCGCGAGTGGAGACAAAAGGAAAGTTGGATGCCAGCCATTCCCCTGAATCTGAATCCCTGCACCACCCCCTCGCCACCCTTCCCCTGGTTTTGTGGAGAGGAAGTGATAATAAACGCACGACACGCGCGCCTTGTTTAGAGATTTATGCGTGCCACAGAATAGAGCCGAGTGAAAATAAAGGAGAACGCGTAAGAATCGTATAAACGCGGTATTCGACCACAAGATGTCCACTTGAAGTGCGTACAAAAAAGTTAGGTAAATAATGCGTAAAAAATAGTTGTTTAAATTATTCAACAAAATAAATTATCAACAATATACAAAAAGGTTCTTGTAATAAATAATAATAAGATATCAATAGTGAATAAATACGACCGCTAATTTGGTCCTTAAAAATAAAAATATTTAAGCATGATAGCCTTAGTTGTAAAATAAATAACAATAAAAAAATATTGGAAGCTGAACGTAAACACTATTTGGTGACAAAAAATTAGTAAACATTAAATATGTTTTTGTGGTTACAAAATGGTAAATAAAAATAAAATATTTTAAACATTTTTGGATGAAATCTAAAGATATCATTTTGAACTCTTTAAGAACAAATAATTGTATGTCCTGTCACTAATTTATCCAGGAGCAGAAAATTCCTAAGGACTCAAAGATCCTCATTAACCAATATACTTCGTACGATTCGATAAAGGGTAACTTAAAAAGGAGAAAAATCCGCTGCAAGTTGCAAATAATGTCAGGCGATGGCGATGTTGACCAAAATGATGCACGACCCGAGCGGATTATGCAATGCGGCATCATCACATCTAGGCCCGGCTAATACAGTTTTGGCCATAAGTCACCCTCCACGGAACCCCTCTTTTACCCCCTTTGCGCTCCCTCCGCTGCCACCGTCGCCACCCGTGAAAAGTGATAGAGTGCAACATGCTGGCTGCAACACGATGGCTACTTAGCCGTAGTTCGCCCTGATTTATTGCCCCAGAGATGCGAAACTCCTCCATTTTCCGCAGCCAACACAATGTCTGTCAATTGGGGCATTTTCACTGCTTAATTACACAAACAGAGGGCGGTTGAGAATTCCTTGTTGAAGGGGGGAAGGGTGGAGAAGCGGGGTGCCGGAGTGGGAGTGCCAGCCAACTGTGCCACGTCTGCAGTTTCGTGTTTGTTTTGCAACCGCACTTATTAAGGAATTAATTTAGTCATTGCAAAACAAGGTCAGACATTAGCCGCAAACTGCAATGCAGCAAGTTGCAAAGTCGCCCCCCCCCTCAAAACCAACACCACCCACAACCCGCCACCCATGGAACTCCCACGCCTGGACGGCCTTCTTCGTGTTTCGAGGCCATTAGGCCCCAAGAAAATTTCCATGCAAAGAACAAGGACTTGAATTGGTTGGAGCTACTCCTCCCACTCCTCCGCTTGAGCACCCCCGCATCCTCAGCGTGGGAAAAACCAGCCGAAAAGCGGGGAGTGGGTGGGAAAGGCGGGGGCTGCGTGCCAAAATGCAGTTTCGTGACCGGCGAAAGGAGCTGACTGCGCCTTGTAAGCGATTCCCATTGCCTAAAAGCTTGTAAGCCAGTTTCCGCCTCCGGCTCTGACTACGGCCAAAACTACGACATCGTCTCCGGCTCAAGTACAAAAACTGTGGCAAACTATAGGTTTTAGACGAGTGGAGAAAAAAGGTCCGAAAAATCCACACGGCTAATCATTGAAATAATAACCATATTTGGTGGGCAGCCGTTGAAAATGTTTGCTTAAACATTTGAAAGGCTTTAAGGACTTATGAAAGGCACTTGTTTTAAATAAAATGAATTAGAAATATTATTAAAAAATCTCATCATCATCCAATTTGAATGACAAATGTTTTGAAGTTAATTAAAAAATTACCACGTCTGTATCAAATTAATCGATAATCTGAAAATCATGCAAGCCTGAAAAGAAAGAAGTGTCCAATCTGAAAATCATAATAAACCAATTGAAATAATAACAAAATGAGCTTTAAATTCTGTTTTCTTTGACATTGTCCATCTGTGTGTAGACTTTGTTTTAATTTATTTTGTGAAAAACTTCAACTAAGAGCTAATCATAACCAACTAGAATAACATAAGTTAATAATTTATTTAAACGTTTAACTAAGAACTAATAATCAATAAGCGGGAGTCGGGGCTTTGTTTCTTTTTTTTTTTATAATAAATAACGAAAAACTTTAACTTGAAACATGGAAACAACCCCGAAGGGGATTTCCGACCCCCGGGGGACAAACGGGTTAACCTGTCCCCACTCGAGGATCCGGAAGGGGTGAGGTGTGTCCGATCCAAAGATGGTTTATGAACTAAAGAAAACTTAAAGGTTTTTATTTCATTTCATGAAAACAAAAAGTAGTAAAATAGTAGAAGAGCGAGCGTTAAATCAATTACAAAGATAATGTTAATTTAACAGTGTGTTTTTTGTTAAACAAAAAAAGGAAATGTTTTTTTGTTTGTTTAGCGATTGCTTTTCATTTAAGATTTCCATAGAAATTGGTTTTTTTGTGTTCCTTTTTTTTGAGCCCTAGGGAGAATTCTTTGTCTTTTGTTTGTGTTTTTCTGTAGGCTATCACTAAATTAATTAACTAGAGTAAAATTAAATTAATACAAATCGTTGTGGTATAAGTTTACATGCTGCTGAGTAAGGTTACCAATAAATTAAGAGTTAACTAAAACGAATGCCTTTCTGCCGATGTGGCACGCCTATTAGCCTAAGTAGCGAGTCTAGCTTAGTAATTTCAACGTTGCTCAAAATGCTGAGAGGTCAGATCGCCTGAAGGATCCAACCGCCTATATTGATCGACCGATCGATCTATGTATATGATAGTGTATAGTATATAGCCTAAGTGTGGAACATGGAATTGCTAGCTGTATCGAAGATCCCGGCTATCTAAACTCCTGAGGGCTCGTCAAACGCGAGGGGATCTAGCAACTAGAACTAGTTTAAGTGCTAATACGTTGGGTGGTCTTGAGTGCTGCCCTCTAGCTCTCCTCGAACTCTCGTTACAAAAATAATTAGTTGATGCTTCGCTAGCCTATCTAAACTGTAGGTAGTATTAAGGTTCCTCAGTCTTCGCAGAGATTTCCGGTACAAGTACAAACTGCTCTAGTAAATATATATCTTTATACGATTCCTGTTTTCATCTCCTTTAGATTTTTAGCACTAAGCTGGGGGCTCCTGGTCAAGGATAATGCCTAACAGGTCATGAAACGCCTGGCTGCTCCTGCCAGCAGATACCGTTAGGCGCTCTCCGTCTTGACCACAATGGGCATGGGTCCGCCGAGGCTGAGACCCGGCTGCGACTTCTGCAGCAGCTCCTCCTGCAGCAGGCTCATCGGGTTCATGGGCAGACCCATGTTCAGTCCCATGCCCATGCCCATGTTCATGTTCATCTTCATGTCGAGCAGGGGATGGCTGTTGCTTGGCGGCGACTTGGGCTCCTCCAGCCGCTCGCCACTGCGGCGCGACTCCGAGCGGCTCTCCCGGCCCTCGCGTCCCTCCCTGGACGAACCGCCCCGGGAGTCGTAGCGCGTGTGGGTCCGCATGTGGCGGGTGATCATGTCGCGCCGGCAGGCGGCGTACGGGCACTGGGGGCACTTGTAGGGCTTCTCGCCGGTGTGGGTGCGCTGGTGGGTGGACAGGTGGTCGGAGCGGGAGAACACCTGGCCGCACACCTTGCACGTGTACGGCTTGATGCCCGTGTGGAGGCGCATGTGGCGGGTAAGCATGTCGGAGCGGGCAAAGGACCGCCGGCACACGTCGCACGAGTAGGCTTTGGCAATATCGTTGGCGGGATTCCGGCTCTTGTGCCGCGAGGCCATGTGCTTGGCCAGCCGGTCGTGCAGCGAGAACATCTGGCCGCAGGTGGGGCACACATAGGCCACATCCGACCCCGGTGGCATCTCCTCCACCACCGGCGAAACATCGAGATTGTAGCGCCAGGCCACCGTTTCCTTGGTCGTCGGCGAGGCGACATCGCCCTTGATCACCGGCACACCCACCGTGGTGGTGGGCACCTGCGAGTGGTGCATCTGCTGGTGGTGCAGCGGATGCAATGGCATCTCCATCTTGATCATCGCCGCCGCCGCTGCCGCCGCCGCCGCATGGGCGGCGTTCATCGCATTGGCGTATGGCGAGTTGGGCGGTGGCTGGTGGTTGGGCGTCGCCGCCGTGGTGATGGGCATGTGACCCGAGTGGCTGCTCGACGCCGGCGACAGGGCGCTCATGCTCTCCAGGCTGCTGGCGGCACTCAGTGCCGGCGGCGGTGGCATCATGCCGGCCGACCGACCGGACGACTCCTGCGAGGACTTCAGGGACTTGGAGCTGGACTTTTTGTACTTCTTGGTCTCCACCTCGTGGCGCACGCACAGATCCAAGGGACGCTCCTGCGGCGGCGGCATCGGCTTCTTCTCGCCCTTCTTGCCCCGCGGCTTGGGACTCGACCTCTTCTTGGTGGCGGCGGCGGCGGTGGTGGTTGTAGTGGTGGTGCCGCCAGTGGTGCTGCTCGCCACATTGCTGTTGCCCACCGAGGATTCGCTGCGCGGTGGCGAGGGCAGCGAGGGAGGCGGCGAGTTGTTGGCCAGGAGGGCGTGGGGCAGCATGTGGCCGGAGGAGCCGCCGCTCTTGCGCTCCTGGGAAGTGGGCGAGGTCTCCGTCTCGGAGGCGATCGAGGAGGGCGTGTGCTGCAGGGGCGAGGGATAGAGATCGTGGCGCCGGCGGAACACCTCGTTCAGATACTTGGTGTGCAGGTAGTAACCGAACAGGGGCGATGGTATCGGAAAGTATCGATCGTACGGGCTGCTCGGCATCTCAGTCTTGATGTCCACGTGCAGGGGGTTCTCCTTGTTCAGCGGCTGACTGGGATCCTCGGGTCCGCGTGGCAGGTTGCCCTGCGAGGCCTGCAGCTGCAGCGGACTCATGCTGATCCGGGGACTGTCCTGATCCTGATCCTGATCATGGTCGTTGTCATCGCTGTGCGACAGCTCGAGATCCTCGCCGGAAATGTCCTCCGGATCGTTATCCATCTCCGGATCGCCGTTCTCCTCGTCCTCGCTGACCGGCTGTTCGCTTTTGATGTACTTTCCTGGATCCGCCTCTGCGTCCTCCGCATCCTCGTCCTCCTCTTCGTCCGGCAAGGAGCCATCGTGGTCCTCCTCGTCCTGCTCTTCGGCCAGATCCTCCTCCATTTCCATGGGTTCCGCCTTGCAGGCGAGACCATTCGAGTGGGTCTCATTGTTGTTATTGTTGTTGTTGTTATTGTGGTGGTGCAGCTTGTCCAGCACCGCCGAGAGCCTCTTGCGCTTGCGCTGCTTCCACGGAACCACAATGTTGTTGTTGGCCACGCTGGCCTGATTGTTGTTGTTGTTGTTGTTGTTCGAGTGGTTGGTGGTGGCCACCGCTGCGGCCACCGCCGCCGCAGCCGCCGCCTGCTGGTGGAGACTTAGCGCCAGCGGCAGGTGGTGCTGGTGTTGATGGTGGTGGTGGTGCGGCGCCTGCTGGTGGTGCTGGTGCTGCAGGGCATGCGGATGCGGATACTGGAGGCCACCGTAGTGGGAATGGGATTGAGCCGCTGACGCGGGCGCAGGATACATGTGTGGTGGCAGATACTGCTGGTGGTTGAAGTTCAGCAGCTGTGGTGGCGGCGCCGGCGGCGGCGGGTGGGGCAGGGACAGGTGGTGCGGGTGGTGCTGCGGCGGCTGCGGAGGCGGATTGTGCGGATTCGCGTGGTGACCATGCCCCATGGGGTCGGTGCCTTCTGCCATCGTCATGAGGTCAACTTTTTGCGGCTTCAGCGGCGGCTTCTCCTGCGGATTGGAAGCGTTCGGCTCGAATTTGAATTGGGCTAAGGCGCCTGTCTCCTCGGGCAGCTGGCGTGACCTTGGCACTTCCGGCCACAACAAATCCAGCCTGCAGGGCCGTGGATTCTTGCGGGCTAATTGACGAGATTTACTGGCCTGCAAAAAAGAACATAATAATAATAAATTACTAATGGAAAAAGTAACAAAACAAATTATAACCTCAAATTGCTCTGTTAATAAATTAGTTTTTAATAAATATGTTGAGAAAATTAACAATTAGTTTTGTTTTTAAGCTTGGAGAAATTGACGATTAGTTTTGCAGACTCAGGAGAGATGTTTTAGTATGACCAAAGCAGTTTATTTTTACCTCAAGAAAGGCCCTTTTGCTGACTTGACAAACATTTTATTTGTATAGAATTTCCGTATTAACTAATTTTCCACTAAAAGAAAAAGCAATCAAGTCCTTAACAATTAAACTTTAAACCACTGCAGAGGGTTATATATTTAGTTCTTTTCTATATTCTCACCACCATTTTTTTAGACCTCAAGCATAAGAAATAGTCCGAAAATAATGTTAAATGACACTTTGGTTAACTTTAAAAGTACACAAAATCAATTTTGCTTGACGGATGTTTGGTAAAAAATCAGATTACGAAATAGATGTGAGTGTCTTGAGTTCTTCCGAGTGAAAGACTGAAATTTGGAAAAGCACAAGGAAGACAGACTTTAATGCAAGAAAAGACAGGTTGACACCTGCAGCTTTATAGCCATCTCGCTCTGTCACACCTTCTCACCAAATAATAAATCGTCTTGCCATCCCGCCTTCACACGATATATTTCACGCATTTCAAGCGTTGCCAGATCGCGAACTCCTACACAAAGCTAATGTGGAATTAGGTTACGTAGAACTAGGCTAAAATATCGAGCACGAAGTGGGGGAACAAATTTAAAGATATGTTTTGGGTGGCAATCAGTCAAGCATCAAAATTCAGCAATTTCCCCGGCATCCGTTGAGTTGGCTTTCAGTCAAACAAATAAATAAGATAAATTTTGTGCTGAAGCTGCCAAAAAGAAATAACGTAACGAGAAGACAGATGACAACGACAACGACGGCGGCGTTTACGCTGCGTTAGTTTTATGCGTTTGCCTGCACGGGTGGGAAAGGGACGGGTGTATGGGAGTAGTGAGCGGGGTACCGTTGGATTTGGCGGAGTAAAGGAATTCTGGTACAGTCTCCAAAGTCTCCAACTCCCGCTGTGGGAATTTTTATGGCACTGCCAGCAGATTTTATGGCGCTCAAAGTTTATGGGGCCTTTGGATTTTGGCGCTGCCTTCGCCTTGACCGGCGCAACACCCCCCAACCCCCAAACCCTCCTCATTCTAAACCCCACCCTCCGCTAGCCTAAGCTTCTGGTCAGCGAAATCAATGAAGGAAAGGAGACAGGATGAAACGGGCGACAGTCCTGGACAGGATCGCATCGCATCTCGCCGTCTGGCGCCAACATTCGCAAATAATTAAAAGTTACCACACACATTCGAATCGGGAGCAGGAGTGCTGTGCTGAGTGCGGTGCCACTGCCACTGCCACCGCGTCCAAAAGCAGTTGGCTCGGGAAAAGGACAAGGCACCACAAACGACAACGGCTACAACAACAACAACTACAACAACAACAACTACAACAACAACAACTATAGCAACAAAAGCTAAAGCAGCAGCAACAACAACAGCAAGGAACGGCACGTCTGGAAGGACGTTTGCTGCATTGCGCTTATCCTTGTGATATATGAATATTGTGCACACACGCACGTAGCTGCGATATGGAGTGGTGTAAGCTGAAAGGGGGGTGGTGCAAAGTGCGGCGGGTGGGCGGCGCAGGGGGTGGTGGTGCAGCAGGAGCAGAGCGAACCCAAGCGAAGCTTTGTGCTGTGTCTGCCATAAGCCGTCAGTTTATGTGGGGGTCTCTCAGCAGTGCACTGAGAGAAAAAGCTCAAAAGGTAATGAGGCATTAAATCTTATTTACGAGTAATTCAAATGAAGAATCTGTGCCTAACCAGGAAAAAGTTCTGTAAGCTAATTTCAACATCGTACTAAAAAAGTAAAAGCACATTACTTTTAAATTCCCAAAAATAAATTCAAAAAATTATATTGAATTCTTTAGTTTATCGGCAGGTAGGCTCCTAAAAATATTGAGTTTTGTTTGATTTAAAAAGTTAATATCATTATAATCGATTTTAAAAATAATTCTTCATAAAAATTTGGTAATAAATATTTACGTAAAAGCAATCCCTATCTCTCTCTATCCTTTTTCTCAGTGCCCTCGTTGTCGTTGTCCTTCTGTTGGCAATTTGCGCCTACAACAGAGAGGAGAGGGTGTCGGGGTCAGGCGGTCGGTCAGGGGTTAAGAGTAAGGGGCAGCAGGAGTCCATGTCCTTAACGGTCACGTGTTTGCTTTACGTGTTGAGAAAATGAAAAGAGCCGGACCCGTCTGTTCCCGAGTGTGTGTTGTTGTGTTGTTCTGTTGCTGCTGCTGTTGTTGTTGTTGTTGTTGTGTCGGTGAGCCGAGGAGAGGTGTTGATGGGCCAGCGACAGGACACCTGTGTCCATCTGCTCATCCTTCGGCCTTCGCCGCCCCTTTCACCTTTCACCTCCTGCCAGTTAGTGGCTTGCTATTGCTGTTGTTATTGTTGTCGCATATGTCTGCCCCTTTCGGTTTAATGGAGTGCGTGTCCTTTGTCCTCGGCGAAGACCCCGTATCCTTGTTTAAAGTTGTCTCAACTTTTTCGATTTCGCAACTTAAATGGAAAATGGAAAACGGTCGGAAAGTTTTCTTTTTTGCATATCATAATTCATGTTCTATTTCCGGGAATAGGGTCACCTTCCCCCTCATCGCTGTTTATTATCCACCCGACTGGCAATTAATATTCTTAATTAGGGTAATTAAACAGCGCAATGCTGACAACTATGCGAAAAACTTTACACCAGCAAATGTGGCCAACGGCATTGGCTCTTTTCCTGCTTTTCCTCTCCGCTTGACTTTTTTCCACTTCTTTCACTGTCCCTCATATACCAGAATATATATATTCATACATATATATATTCATAAAAGTAAAATGAACAAAAAGCTGAAAAAAAAACATAAATTTTCACGCCAGTTGGAAGTTCTCTTCTGGGTTCGCCAAGGTTCCGCCGCTTTGGGGCCTTGTTAGCACGCGAAATCGGGGATCCGATTCACGGAGGAGGCTTTTGATTTATGGCCGGCAGAGTTTGGACAAACACAAATATACATATATCCGTATGAGTGTTCATACCCTTGCCAAGTGTTAATTAACTCGCAAAAGGAGTTGGCACTATAAATCGATGAGGATGCGGACTGAAACGGGCTGACCAATAATTCTTGCGGGCTTTAGTTGGTCAGAAACTATACTTTTTGGGAACCATATTCAAAAATACAGCTACTGTGAATGCATACCAACATTTTTAAAGTTTTCCGTACCGAGAAATAAAAAAAATAATTTTCTTTACTGAAAGGGTACCTCGAAATTCGTTTTCAATTCATCCAAAACTTACTGAATTTCTCCTTTCATTTAGGGGATTCAGTTTTTTTGGACAGGCGAGAAGATTACATAATGGGAGAATGGAAAAGACAGAACGGACTTGTCAGGCGATGGAAGAGATGGTGTGAAATTATGCTAAATGAAGTGTTAATTTTTGGCCACGGGTGGAATGACTCCGAAAGTGGCCAAATAATAATAAAATGGGGGAAAGCGCGGAAAGCGGAGCAATCGCAATCGCAATCGCAGATTTAATTAAGCTTTTTCTAGAGTGTAAACATGGCGCTAACAAGTCGCCAGCTTAAAGACCAAAAAGAGCGGACAGCGAAACATGCTTGTAAGCAAATGTTTGGCAAAGTGGAACGGCGAATGCCAAGTGCTCGTAAATGATCTGAAAACTGAACACTGAACGCTGAACACTGAAAGCCGAAAGCTGGAAAAGTGCAAGGCAAGTGCAAAGTGGTGGTGCGACTAGAGACTAAAGAAAAGCGCTGCTTAATTACGCCAAACAACGAACAATGAACGAACAACCGGCGAACAACGCGACAGCAACAACAGGGGCAAACAACTAGGAAGCGCATTAAATGGCGCTCATTTGTTGTCAACAATGGCAAAAACGAGAACCCAGATTTGCCAACTCGGCTTTGTTATTTCGCTCTGCAAAACTGCGAATTGCGACCACTGACTGAAAACTGACTGCGGGAAAACTGAAAATGTGCAATGCCATGGAAATATGATTCACGGCCAGTTTTTAAGGCAGTTATTATAATTACACGACGAACTTTGCTAAAATGAAGGTGGCAAACTTAAACAAATAAAAAGAAATCAAATGGTGTTTATAAATGAATTTTGTAATTTAAAAGAAAAATGTGGAAATGGATTAATGGTAATACGATTGGAAAACATTATCTGTTTGCACAAATATTTTACTTTACAATAAAAAACTAACTGCAATTCTTTTTATCATATTTCTTTATATCTTGTTTCTAATCATATACAATATTTTGGGATATTCCCCCGCTATTTTTTATTATTCTGTTTTATTTCTTTATTTATTTATTTTTGAAACCCATAAGAAGTGAAACAAAAATTTATTTATATTTTTCTTATCACAAAACCTATGAGGGTTATTCCCGACGAGTGACCACTGTATTTGCATGGCATTTGTCACGCTTATTACACACAGCGAAACTTGATGAAGTTTTGCAGTAGCCCCCGTCAAACACATTTTATGCCCCCCGTCCATTTGGGACCCAGAGACGCCGCGATAAGCCTCGTGCCATGTGCCTCCTTTTTAGACCCCCTTGCCCCCCCCTTCGACCCCCCTCCCAAAGCCTCCTGTTCAAAGCGACGACAGTTCGCAGAGCTAAGCAAATAAAATTGCAGAAATTAAAATGTAAACAATTTGTTGGTGTGCGATTGCAGTTGTTAGTGTTTGTGTTGCTGCTGCTGTTGGTGTTGGTGTTTGTGTTTGTGTTGCCACGCCCCTGTCGGGCCCCCCGCCCCCTAAACTTCGGTTGACTGTGGCCATTAATCTGGCAAATGTCTCTGACGCCATTTAAGCCACACTTCACTTGAGTTTACTTCACTTGTCTTTGGTCGTAATAAACGACATCATAAACATCAGCATTCAACGTGATATGCATTGATAATGGACGGGCATTTTGGGTGGGGGGCTTGTATGGAGTCTCAACTTCAATCACAAGTGCAAAGACAACACCAGCCAACAACAACAACAACAACAACAGCAAGGCGCTGCCCGAAGGCAAACAAAGCATGACGAGGCAGAAATATGGCTAATAAAATAAAACGCCATTTGCTTAGCCACGACAACGAACTCAGCTGCTCATCAAACGAGAAATAATAATATTAAAAAGCGAAAAAAAAGTGGAGAAAACTCTTCGTACGCCTACAACAATCGCCGCTGTTGCTGGTAGCCAATGACAGCAGCAACATGTTGCTGAGACCGCCCCCCGCAGCAACACGAGCTCGCAACTGGCTGGAAAAGCTCTGCTTTGATTGTTTTCGTTCGGGAAAATTACACTGGAAAAGTTAAGGAAATAATAAAAGAAGAGTGACTATCAACACCAGGAAATATTTTTATTTATAAATAATGTATATTCTTTATGATTATCTAGTTAATTTTTTAGTACTTCTAAAGCCTCCAGATGTTAACTTTCAAAACAATTTGCCTTGCTTTAATGTCCCCCACAGATCTTTGATCCCCACACATTTTCCATAGTATCTCTGTAATTTCTCTCTGCTGTGAACTCTGATCTCGATATCTTTCATTATATATCACCCTGTTTCATTATCGCCTTGCTCCCCCGCCTGATGATTGCCTGAGATGCGAATTCATTTATTATAACTAGCTGGCCGGCTACTGGTGCTCGTTTGCTTTCAATTGGAGCCTCGCTCTGAAAAACTGATTCGGAATCTGAATCTGCGAGCTTGGCGCACTGCAATTAAAATGATCACTGTAATTTGAAAACGACTGCGAATTGGCCGGGACCAAATTTGACGTCAATATGTGAGCTAACGATATGCTAATTAGTTGCCACTGCTACCGAGCTTCGGACTCGGATCATTAATTAAGAGGGGCTCTGATCTGGGGATTGACGTGGTTGCAGGTTGCTGCTTGCTGGCCTGCCTTACTGGTTGCAGTTTGCCGGTTGCAACCTACGCCACCGTTGGCCAAGTGGATAATGCCAGATAATGGCGATTTCCTGCCACCAGGCCAATTGTTGCTGCCGTGCCAAGGAGCAACACAACAACAGCAACAACAGCAACAGCAACACCCGAGCAACATGCTGCCCCTGGCTGACCGCAGCTTAAATAAAATTACATTCAAATTCAATTGTAAATGCATTTTATCTGTTGGTTTTGCTTTTGCTGCTGCTGTTGTTGCTGTTGCTGCTGCTGCTGGGGCTGTAAACTGCAATCATGTTGCACATTTTTCTCTGGCAGGCCGAGGTCCGATCTCGAGTCCCGCAGCCTAGAGACGCTGGCCTTTTACAATCAAATGTAATTATTTTTGCAATATACACCTTCAGCTGCTTTTGCTGCCTTTGCTGCGGCAGCAACAAGTTGCTTAGCATACTTCCGTTTGTGCCACAAAAGGCCGCGCC